ATAAGTAATTTCCGTCACAGAAACAGCCTTTCTGTTTTATTGTCATTTCTTGGAACCACTAATAAAATAGATCTTATATGAACCTTTCTGAAAAAACGGAATTAAAAAATTAAGCTATTATTTGACACCGAAAAGGTAATAAAAACTCTAATATTTTTGACAGCATAATGACGTCATGACGCCAATAGATTATGCCTGGTTATACATATAACACGACCTAATAAAGAACTAATAAATAGTACAAATGATTGAATAAACTGCGTTTAAAAAATTCAACTACAACCAAAAGAGAGGGTTTATTAAAATCGGTTAATTAAACTGTCAAACACCAAGCGGTCACCGGTGACCGCAACCTATTGTTCTATAATTGTGTCTACAAAACCGGTACTCGACGAGTTAATATAGGTACTAAAACTTTTTCCTTAATGAAACAAACATATATCTGAAAACTGTATTAAAATCTGTACAGTCAATCGCGAGATAATTGCGGACAAATATGTATGTAACATGTATGTAAAATTTTCTTTTGAACTCGCTTAAAAAGATAATTAAAACAGTAGCAATCACATGCAAATTAAACTAAAGTTAAGTAATTACCCATCTTTTCTAATGACGTCAAAGTTACGAACCGTATTTAAGGCTATTAATGTAATGTATTTTAATTAATTAGTGATAGGAATCAGGTCTATTTACATAACTATCGTGATCTAAGGTAATTCGACATATTCTTGTTACATATGGACATATTTAAATAGGTCTAGTTGAGTTGTGCTTAACTTGTTATTAAGTAAGTAATCGCTTGTAAAGTTCGTTTAAAATTTAAGGTTTTTTGCAGTTGGTTGACTTGTACCTAAGTAGTACAATATTCGTGTACGACTTACCTACTTGTTTTCAGGGAATTGAAAATCACTCGAGTCATATTATTACCTGAAAACAAAACAAAAAACATTAATTACTAACACCATTTAGTAAAACATTATCATTCAAGGTTAACCGCTTCTTACTGCGAGGACCACCCGGAGGAGACGGTGGCGGTGTACCCTGCGTGGGCTGAGCACCGTCGTGTCCTCAGGGATGTGGTCGTCGATGGCAAACTCTCGCGTCCGGCTCTAGTTTAGGCCATGGTGCAAAGCGAGGGGGACTGGGATGCCGTCTCCTCCTTCTGCGAAGCAGTCATGCTAGCCAAGGAGGAGGCGCTCATGCCCCAGCCGTCGCGAGAGACAATACGGGCGCCGGAGATCGTCGCGCAATCTCCGGCCACCATAACTGCGGGTCTGCGCACGGCGAGCAAAGCTAGCTCACGCAGAGTGATTAATACTTTTAATATGTTATCTTAACGTTCAAATGTGCCTTCCTGGTCTAATTGAAATAAATGCTTTTGACTTTGACTTCACCACATGGACCACATCGAACTCATGACGTGTTCAATATTGCAGACGTATGTATGTATTTTTTATTTATTTATTTATTTAACAAAAGTACAATTTTAGGATTAACATGTTGTTCTTATAATTATAGATCCTCGCCAAACATAACGTTTAACGGCGAGAAGCGCTCATTTCTTATTCTTACTAGCTAATTAAGTACTGTACATGTACATGTACATGTACTGTACATGTACATACCTACTTAGCCAGAGACCTCTTACAAGCGGCTCGTAAGTACAGTTGCAACTGATAGAAGTATATAAAACCTCTTTAGAAGTAGGTATATATAACGGGATAAAAACCGCTGAAAAGTCAATGTACCTACAAAAGGCACTTCCTCACCTTCCCCGTAAAATAACAGGCACAATTACTTAAACAAACAACGTAATTTCATAGCAAACTAACTGAACAAAGCTAAAAAGACTTCCGATTCACCATGGTGAGTTCATAAAAAAACTTTATCTATAGCAATTTTCAATTGACGTAAATCGCCACCGGAAATTAGCGTGGTAAATGCGAATCTATTGAAAGTCACTCGTGCGCATCGGACCGAATAGGACGGTGTCAATTATCGTAGCGAGATAGTCACTTGACATGGAACCTTTTTTTGCGTCAAATGTAATTGTGACTTTAATTTGAGAGCATCTAGTTATATATGTACATAACATTACTTTTTTATGTTCAATAGAGACAAAATTTTTTTTTTAATTTTGAGTTCTATGCCCTTTGTTACTGGGTCCTGTTTCAGTTCAGGGACATAGAGAAATTTTCGACAATTGAAAGAACTTCATCATTGCAGCCTGATGGTCCGACCTAGGAAACAACGGAGAACCTTCTATTAGCCGACGAAGTTATCCCGGTCCCCTTTGAAATCTTGTTGAATTTTACAGTTCGAAAATGACACAATCACCTTTTTATTTATCACTCGCTTTTGCCCGCGACTTTAATCGCAAAGAATACGAATTATAGGACATAAATTTTTTTGTTTCAATTTTCCAACATATAAATAGCCTATGTTACTCCTTAGTACATCAACTACATGCCAGTAAAAGTAGTTACCTTCAAATCAGTCCAGCCATTTCAGAGATTAGCTAGTACAAACAGATAAACAATAAAGATATTTTAGATTTTTTTTTTAAGGGGTTAAATCATCGAATGACTGCTCCCGCCTGGGTGAGGCGGGAGGGAGTGTCAGACTAAAAACCACGCCGTTCCTTCTCCTGCACGTCGAGCCGGAGCCCCGGTTACCCGTTAGGTTCTCCGCGACTCCGAATCGGCATCGGCCCTGTTGGGCCCCATCTGTGGTGGTCTGATGGCTCTTTGAGGCGCGCGCGGAACGCGACGCGCCGTACGCTCGGGTCAAGATATTTTGGGATATGTATCGTATGTAGAGGTATATTCATACGCAATTAGTAAAAAGCGGTTATTTCAGTATTACAAATAGACACTACAATTTTATGTATGTGTATAGATTGTTTTGTATCGAAACACCACTATTTGACGTATATTATTATCAACAAAACTAAAGGAATATAAATTCGATCCTAAAGCACTTTTCTGAGATGAAATTGTTCAATAATAAATATTTGTAAAGTATGCCAAGGTAACACTAAAGATAATTGATTAAATTACTCTTATAATGGTTTTGCTTAATTAAAATATACTGTTATATAATTGAAGTAATAATAATTATATGTTACATGTTATCCTAATTCAGTTTGACGTTGATGATGAATTTAAAAAAGTTAACGAAATATTAGTGGTTGATATTTGACTTCCACCGTTATGTAAAATTAGTAAGGTTAATGATTTTAAGATGCAGAAACTAAAGTTGTATTGATTACAAAAGAGTCTACATAGTTAAGTTTAAAATTATTCAAGTAAATATTTTATGCCAACTACTGCAATGAAGTTAGTATTAAACTAGAAAAAATGGGGTTAGAATACCAAGACGTAAATCATACTGAACGGATAGAACGCTCAAGGCCAAAAGAGATGGTAGAAAGTGAAGGAAGCCTACGCCTTATGGTAGAAAAAGGCTAAAGAAAAACCATAAGAAATCAGTTAGTTGGGTTCACGAATAAGCCAGCGACGTCAATGCATTAGGTATCTAAAATATATCGACAAATTGAGAATATCCCCCTTTTTAAGGTGTATAATAAATAGATATAGCATAACATAATATCACTTCCATCATGATATATTTATCCCCCAATGGGTAAGCAGAGGTGCACATTACAGCACTTATTGCCACTGTACAATGTAACACCCACTTTTCACTATTTACATTATGAGTTCCATGTAATAGAGCTCATGTAATAGAGATAATAGGCTTAAGCCAATTGCCATATACCGGGCACAATTCCAGACTCCGTGCTACTGAGATATTTTTAAAACCCAGTAATACATTGCCCGATCCGGGAATCGAGTGCGAGACCCCTTGCCCAGCAGTCGCACTTGCGACCACTTGGCCAACGAGGCAGAGCAACATATAATAGATAGATGTTAAATATTACTGTAAGGTCCGAAGATGTACGACGACTAAAATCTTATTAAAGCACAATTTTCAACCGCACACTTTATAAGGAGTTTAAGCAATCATTCATAACAAAATAGGGCATTAAATTGACAGCTACAATATGATTTATATATTTCAAATAAGTAACAAATCACTTCAAGTCATAGCTGCTACAAATTATGACAAATCAATCAAGTACTTGTATAGTAATTTTCGATTTCTATGAATCAACATGATGTTAACAACCATTTTTAGGAATTGTAGTACGAACACCGTGTTTTGGATAAACTAATTTAGATAATAAATAAAAATTGTTTATTTGGAAACTTCTCATAATGAAATGAGGATGATGCTAGGGTATGAAAATTAAAAATCTAATTAGTTCGTCAATTAGGCAATGAAAAAATATTAGACACGTATTTTTTTATTTTGTCGTATATTAAAATAATACTTACATAAAACGAATCAAAGTTTAGGAGTGGGGGCTAAAACGTCATTTTTACGTATAAATTAGTTTCTGTAGGAAAATAAAAATACGTGCCTAATAATTTAAAATAATCTATGAGACGGACATTAAAATAAAATTAGGCATCTATCCTATTATTCATGATAATACTTAAAATCGCTAACTTCAATAAAATAATGCAGATTGATTCAAATATCTCTAGAAACGGATAAAAAACCATCTCACATAAAAATGCAAGCAATATGAACAAATTTAGAAGACAAATAACAGGAACTAATAACTAATAATATTGACTTAAGAGACGCTATCGTACTTGAAGATGACAAACGGGTGATTCTTTGAAACAGAGGTTTTTTGACTCATTAATCTGGCTCAAATTTTTTTTGCACTTAGATCTAAATTGATATTATAGTTTGACCCAGTGCTTTATGTGCAATATCATATATCGAAGGCATCGAATTGCATCATGTAGATTAGAATTTAGAAGGTGCTGATTAATTGATGAGCCAGATTAATGATGACATAGGCAGATGAATGTGATTTCGCACCATATTAATTAGAAGTATACAGATTAATGATAATTCCGTTATTTTTTCCAATCAACTTTATTATAAAATTGTACCAAATATTGAAATAATAACTCCTATGACTAATTAACAAGTACTCTCTTTGGCTGACACAAGATAATAATTATAATTATGTAAACAGTAACACTTTCGTTCAAATGAAACATTCATTAAACCTTTAATAATGTCGTTGATAAATCACACTAGCTTCAACGCTATAATAAAATACTTACTTAATAATTAATACTTAATGCTTACATGAAATAGTAAACTAATCTTCATAAGACCTTTTAATAACACAAAACAATAACGAATTTTAGCTTAAAACAAAAATAAACTTCACCGAATACAAACTCTTAATTAAAATTAAATAAAACTTACTAATCAAAATCAGACTTAATTTTGCAGTACGATAGGAACTGTAAGGTTGAGATCGTAGAAAACTAATTACTAAAAAATATTAAATTCTTCATCATCGGAGTCTATTAAATATGGATTGATATTTTCTAAATCGACACTAAAATGTTTATTTCCATCTCTTGAAAAAGTTATCTCTGAGATTTTATCAAAGTCAGAATACTGAGACATTTCCGTTCTTTCCGCAGCATTATCCTTCCTATCTTCTTTTTGCTCGTTATCTTCCATTAATTCTTTATTAATATCATTATTTATTCCCAATGATTTACGTACACCTTTATGATTTCTTTGACGTTTATGTGATATATTGAATTCAAGTTCTTCATCTAAAATTCTTTGATCTATGTTCGGCGTATTAATATTTTGTGTATCTGGTTCATTACTGCTTGTCCAAAAGGATTGACCAATTTCTCTTAGTTGTCGTGTTGAATCAGCTAGCGGTGTAACCGTATCGGTATTGTTGTGTTGAATTTCGTCTTCCAAATGATAAAAGCCAAGGTGCTTTTTGTGGTTGCAATTGACAGTCTGATGCAGACAGTTTTGATCTATACAGCTCAGTTTTCGAACGGCAACTATAGGAGACTCGAAATTCCAGACTATTTGGTGCATTTTCAGGCAACCTGGAAAAGCTTTCACATTTTGTGGAAAAAGGAAGTCTTTTTCACATACGTCATACTCAGAAACGGTTCTCAATTTTACTTTCTTGAGGTTTTGCTCCATTACATTTACAAAATCCTGCATATCTTTTATATCCTGCCCTTGGGAAACAGCGCGATCCGCAGTTCTTTTCATAACAGCGCCAATCCCATCTGGGGCACCCTTCCCATGACCAGATTCGCTGTAGTTCCATGTAATGATTTTAATGGAGCTTAGATAGATATGCAAACAGGCAATTAGGTGAAATATTTTTTTATTACGATACTGACTAGACGGAGAATCGGAAATGAAATGTATAGTATGAATGTCTCTCTTTTTTTCACCTATGTATTGGAGGACTGGTACGATGTGAGCCCACACTGCAGAAATGTCATGACGAAGGCATTCACTCACGGTACAAAAAGACTGTACTTGCTGTATCTTCTCATCGTCTAAAAAATATATTACCGAAGTGTGTAGAGTTAATTGTTTACGGCTTCCACCGAAATGATAGGACTGTATTTCTTCATTGCACTTAACTGCATAATTTTCGCTAAAGTCAACATGAATTATACACTCACCCTCTTGAAGATTTTCTTTTAAATATTTGAAAGCCTTTTGTTGAGCAACTACATTACCACAATGCACGAAATATTCATTCAATGTTGACTCAAATTTTTCAATGCAAATCTTAGGTTCCTCTCTTTTTTTAATTTTCTCAGTTGATCTTACTTTTCTTCCCGTAGCTTCGATCGTGTATGGTTTAGTCTCCCACTGCCAGTATGTTATTTCGATGGAATTATCAAATTCCTGATAGGGGACTGTCCTTTCCTTGCAAGCAAAACATGTTCGATGTAAACAATCTTCATTATATACATCGCAACATAGCAGAGAGAGAAGATCTTGGGAAGTTTTGGTGACCAGTATCTTCCTCTGGTACAATCCCTGGATGACTAAATCCATGTTAACATGCAATTTGCATAAACAGGTATCTCTTGATCTAAAATCAGGTATGATCACCCAAAATGGCCTTAACTTGCAGAACGCTGAATAGCTAATAATTAAATTTGACTTTTTCAGGAACTTTTTATGCAGATTAAGAAGACTGTCATTGAGATATCGCTTTTGTTTACGTATCTTGTTTCTTGTAATAAATTCTTTCTTTCCGGAGCAAAGTCTACTATTTTCATCGTCTTCATAAAATATTTCAACTTCTTTTCTAAGTAGTTCAGGCAAAGAATTTGTATGATGATTTGGTATCTTATTTGACTTTCGCACTAGGCGTTTTATTTTAGGGTCAAGTGTTGTATTTTGATTTTTAGGTCTGATTTTGTTATCTACTGAGGGTCCTTTATAATTCAATGCTAATCTTTGCAGTTTTTTCTTATAACGTTCATTTTTTCGCTTCATGTCTAGTATTATTCGTTTAAGATTATTTATTTCTTTATCTTTTTGATAGCGGAGACGTCTTACAACAGAAGGCACAGGTGAAGAACAGGAAGGAGCCTCTGTATTCGGTGTAGTTCCTCGTGAAGTAGGGGAATAAGCATGGTTCTGAAGAATTGTA